GTTACTGTATTGTAATTTGGTCTCAGAGACTACAGGTCAATTCACTTACAGTTACTTGGAAAATATTAATTTTCCACTTCTATTTTCAAGAGGAAATTCATTTGAGAGGAATCACCCACTTCTAGGGCTTTTCCAGTGTTTTTCTTCTGATTTATAGGGTTCGAAAAATCAGAACTGAGTAGTTGAGTTATGTTCCATCAATTTGAAAGAAAATGTATTGTAGTTCCAACATGTTAATAATAATATTTATATCTTCTTTCAATAGTGACTTCCAGTTTTGCTTTTTCATTTCTCTAATTCTATTCATTTTCAGTAGTGATCTTCTATACAGTGTTTAATTGACCTTTACTGCAATGCCAGTATATTCTAACTTTTTCTAAATTTGCAGGTTGGCATACTTACTTTTGGATTGCGTTTATTCCCTTTTTCGTAAGTATCCTAAAGAATTACTTCCATTTTCTTATATGCACGATAGTTGATTGAGATTTGAATAAAGCATGTTTCATATATTGCTTCTACATACCTTCGACAATCTGTTTCTTGATCATTTTTTTTTTTTTTTTATTATTTATTATCCCTACTCTTAATTTTCTTTTATCTTATGTTTTGCATGTATGCCTTTTTTCTCAAAGTACTCCATACATTTGACAATATTTCTACACAAACATAAAATTATATATATTTTTTTTTCCTTCAGCTGCTACTTGCTGTTGGCACTAAACTCGAGCACGTGATTAGCCAGCTGGCTCATGAGGTTGCCGAAAAACACGTGGCCATCGAGGGCGAATTGGTCGTTCAGCCGTCTGACGATCACTTTTGGTTCCATCGACCCCACTTTGTGCTTGTCTTGATTCATTTCATCCTCTTCCAAAACGCCTTTGAGATTGCGTTTTTCTTCTGGATATTGGTAAAGTTTGATATGATTTTTGATTTCATTCTTTAATATTTGCAACTCATATATGTTTTTCCACTAGTTGAACTTTTTCTATTTGATTTTGTAGGTCCAATATGGATTCGACTCATGCATTATGGGACAAGTCCGATATATTGTTCCAAGGCTCGTCATTGGGTGAGCTATTCTTTTTTTTTTTTTTTTTTT